TGAGGGACTTGAAGAAGGCGTTGGGTCTGCCGGCGGCCACTTCTTTCAAGCACGTGAGTCCCGCCGGCGCCGCCATCGCTGTCCCCCTAAACAAAGAGCAGTTGAAGTTATGTATGGTTGAGGACTTAGAGAACGAGTTGACCCCAATCTCCACCGCTTACGCCAGAGCTCGTGGAGCCGACAGAATGTCATCGTTCGGCGATTTCATCGCTTTGTCCGACACTTGCGATGTGACCACCGCTAAGATTATATCCCGAGAAGTGTCCGACGGAATCATTGCCCCGGCGTTTGAACCCAAGGCTCTCGAGATACTTAAGAAGAAGAAGAACGGATCGTATTGTGTTCTTCAGGTATTTTAGGCTAGAAATATGAATAATTCAATAATATTCAACTTTTGCCACTTTGTTATCTTCAGATCGATCCCAACTATGAGTCACAGAATCTCGAAACTCGAACTCTATTTGGTCTGACATTAGAGCAGAAGAAAAACGACGCTCTGATCGACAGGAAGTTGTTTTCGGGCACTAATGTCGTCGCGACCTCTAAACCAGTATTTATTATTTCAAATCTATTTTCTAATAAAACATTACAAATAATTTTCCATTAGTTAACTGAAGAGGCGGTCAGAGATCTAATTGTGGCGACAATTGCCCTGAAATATTGCGTTAGTTTGAGACAAACGATACGTTCTCTACCAGTTCACTAACCATAGCCGCGGCCTGTTGTCAGAGCGTAGGTAACGTGCGCAAACCGGCCGCTATTCCGGTTGTTGACCACCGAGGCTGTCGACCCGAGGATCACTTCCGCCGTCTTCAAGAAGGGAGTGAAAAGGGCTGAGATTTCCAATTACATCGACGTCTTCGTCAACGGAAGTGTTGGCAAAGAGATGGACGCAAACACCTGGAAGAATGCCTTCGAGAGCGCGCCCGCACTTCTCACTGATGTTAGCATTTTTTTTATCAATTAATTAATTTTTCTGACAAAACGTGTTTTAATGATAACTGAATTGAATGTATAGTCGGATCGCGAGGAATGGATTTCAAAGCTGAATGGAGTGGCTCTCAGTTCTGACGCCTTCTTCCCATTCCGTGATAACATAGACAGAGCGCGACAGTCGGGCGTCGATTAACTGAATTGAATGTATAGTCGGATCGCGAGGAATGGATTTCAAAGCTGAATGGAGTGGCTCTCAGTTCTGACGCCTTCTTCCCATTCCGTGATAACATAGACAGAGCGCGACAGTCGGGCGTCGACTACATCGTCAGTCCCGGCGGTTCCACAAACGATACCTCTATAGTAGAGGCCTGTAATCACCACAAGATTACACTAATCCATACCGGACTCAGACTTTTCCACCACTAAGTCCTTTAAAATCAAATTAAAGTTTCTTTGTTTTCATTGATTAATAAAATGCGATTTTAGAAATAATAAACTGAAAGTTTTTTTATAACAAATTACATTTGAATATAAAATTTAAAAATATGTTGAAAATTGTTACCCAAAATGGGCTCTAATTACCAATTCAAACAATTATTAGTTTTATTAACAAGTTTTGTAGATAAGTTTTATAAAAAGAATTGCTGTAAAGGAGTGTTGATATGTGCCTATAAGTTGACAAGTGGGCAGTTGACCATGATGCATGTTCGTGCATCCACAACGAGTCTTTTCATTGTTCATATTAAACCGACCCGACCTCGGCTTCGGCCACATTTACCGGCAAATTGTAATTTATTCAATACTGACATGTGATATACATGTATGAAAACATAGAATTTAGCGTACAATTAAAATATCGTAATTGAACATCAATGAAGTGTATATTTTATGCCATTTTATTAAAATCTTTAAATTGTGGTCAAAATGAGTAAGATAAGCTATAATTGTACATCTCTTCCCTCCACCTCAACACCTCTGATCACAACTACAATTCCTGCCCACACGACCACAACTCTACCAAAAATAAATGAAAATGTGGCAACCACATTACAATAATATTACAATATTCTACTTCTATCATAAATTCTACATTGATTTCAGATATGACGTCAGTATTGAATTAAAATATGCTCATAAAAGTAGTGACTGCGGCCGAACCAGAGGCCAGACAGACGTACAAAGATATATGAATATAGATGTGGAAAATAAGTAGGAGAGGGTTTGATATGTTTACGCCCGACCGCCACTTTCTGATTTCCCCACGCTAAAATACATATTTAAATAGATAAAACGCTCTCTCTCTCTCTCTCTCTCTCTCTCTCTCTCTCTCTAAATAATCTATTTTTTGCTTAAAAATACCAATTTTCCGGATATTTCCCTTAACTATATTAGGATACTTACCACTAATTACCCCCCACTTTCTCTCACTCCCTCCCCCTGTATATAAACTAAATGCACAAAAAATTATATTTAAAACACTCAAACTTTGTTGAAAATTATTAAAAAAGTTTTTCAAACTTTAAAACTGTAAACTTTTAAATTTAATTAAATTTAAATTAATTTATAAAATAAACTGTATAAAAATTGTGTCAACAATTTATACAAGGACAATTTGGATTATTGTGCCAAGCTCATTTACTTGAAAATTGTATTTTTCATTAAATTGAAAAGGTAAGTTTATTTTTAAAATTTTAATTAATAAAAATTACCATGGTACTTTATTATTTTTAATTTTTAAACAGGATTTACTGAAGACGGTTAATTTAATTATATCGCATTATTTACGTAAATTAATTGGAAAAATACGATAAGGTATATAAAATATATATTTAAAATTAAATTTACAGTTGTTAATTATATATTTGTTTAAATTAATTTAGATGGCCAATAATCAGAAACAAAATAACCAGGGACAAAACCAGGGGCAAAACCAGAACGACCAGGCTCAAAACAACCAGGGTCAGGCTAATGAAGCCAACAGGTAAAAAATAATTATATATTTTTTTTATTTACCTAGTACTTTTAAAAATTGATACTAACTTAATAGATAGTGGTTGAATGAGAGATACAGAATATTCGTGTTGATATATATTTTATTAAATTTCCCGCAACGGATAGAAAAATTACGACAACAAAACATGGCTTTTATGAATTGAAGCAATTCCTTAACATTATTGGTGCAATTGAAGGGACACATATTGAGATTTTGAGCATTCCTGGATCTGATATGGTAATACTGATGTATCGCCGTCAGGAATTATGCCATCCATTCATTGTGGATTCATTGTTGCCAATAAGCGGTCCTCCAATTCCGGTAGAATAATAGGACATTGAGATCTATCACCAGTTGCTTCTTGATGTCTTTTATATCTGAAGCCCTTTTTCTGGATTTTGCCTTAAATTCAGTCAATGCTTTCTTTATTTGGTGCACTTCGCGGCCAACAGTTTACTGACCGCGTTAACACATGATGTTATGTATTCAAACGCCTTTTTCTTAGACTCATGTGTTAATGTTGGCGAAAACTAAGTGTAAAAGTGTGACAGGCGGGGATACTGACCACTATACTATTAGGTACAATTTTTTCCGTCGATAATATTGATTTTGTTGATATATTTAGCCACCAAAGCGGAGAGAGTGTATTTAGAGATGTGTGTCCATCATTAGTACTGGAAAGGTGTAGATTGAGAGCATTGAACTTTACAACCTTTCACATCCACATAACCCCTAAACCCCATTCATTAAGACTATTGGAAACGCGTACACAGATTAGAGACACATATAATCCATAATCCATTTACTCTATTACTGTATAAACGCGGACTTGAAAACCATTTATTCATTTATATTAATAGAAATTTGATGTTATTTTAAACTTTACTTTTGTTTTAAATATAATTATATACAGAGAATAAGAGGAAACGCGGAAACAGAACATGAGTTCATATAAATAGTGAAGAACTAGGTATTAAAAGGCAGTCAATATTTGGGACTCGAAAGGGAGAGTCAGTCAAGAATAGGGACTCAAAAGGAAGAGTTAGATTTTTGAACACTGTTTTCGCGTTGATTTGATTTCTATGTGAATTGAATTTAATTGTTTAGAATATTAATTATTAATTTAATTTGTTTTGTATTCATTTTACATGTGTTTTGTCGCGAAATATAATAAATTGTTTGAAAGGAAGAGAAAAGTTTATGTTTATTGTGTGAATCGCGATAATAAGTCATTAAATTGGGTTTAAATCTAGTTTAAATCCAGTTATCTTGTAATTCCCCCTTACAGTACAGACACTTATGAATAAAAACCTTTATTTCGTGAATAATGCAATTACATTTATTTTTAAAATCTCATTTAAAAAATGACAAAGTTGAATTTTGTTTATAAATGCAGTTGTGGTACCCTTTATTAGAAACAAAATCAGAGGTTCTGAGACAATATTATAATTTGAATGCTAGAAATAAAATGAATTTATATTTAATTAATTCAATTATAAAGACAATTATAAGCACTCGAATTTTTGCAAAAGTATAATTTTTTGGAAATTGTATGAATTCAAAGTTTTGATTGACAAACAATTAAATACAAAAAAATACAGGAATTATTGGTAAAATGTTCATAATTATACAGGATATCCAAAATATTCTCTGGCAACGCTATGCATAAAACTGAATACATTGAAAATTGACTTTTCATGAGTAATGCCATTCACCAAAACTATAGTGATATAAGGCGTATGCAAATGGTTAGATATTTGAACATAGGTGTTTGTGGTCATTCGCATTTTAAATTTAATTGTTAAATAAAATGTATTTCAATAAAATCGCTCAAGTAGTTTTAAAATTACTTTTATTGTTCATAGTTCCCAACCCTGCATTTCGAAACGTATAAATAAAATGTAACACTATTTTCAATTTAAAATGAATTTATTTTTAATGATTTAAGATATTTAATGATAAATTAGAACAGTTTTCCATACAATTAAACAAAACATATTCTCATCACAATATTTATAATTACATTTCAATTAGATTTAACAGTTATAACCATATATTCTTTGATTTATCATTTCAAATGTCCTAAAATAATGATTACTTCTTATTAAAAATAATAATTTCCAATTCATTCAACAGTTTTCTAATACAATAATAACCATAAATAATTCAATTCTTATAATTTATAGTATATTTATATATATTTGCCAATAATTGTCATAATATTGTTATATTATATTAAGTCATACTGTGGTTAACATTTTGTTACGATAATTGAGTTGTAAGTGTAGAACACTTTTAAACATATTATATTATATTTATCCTAAATATATGCCTTATTTAACGACTATTAGAGTTAGGGCTCAACAAAACGCACACCAATTATATGCGCTCTCAATATAGTTCTCAATTCCACTGATTCTGACATCAAATGACGAAATAAATAATTGTTTATAATTTAATTAAATATAATATTATTGTATTTGCTTTTCAAACTCCATCCACGCGTCGTTCAATTCCATGAATACCAGTTTCGCCATCTCTTCGTGTTCTGTTCCCACCAACTGTTCAAATGATAACAAAAACATAATTGGTTAACACATCCATACTTTGATCAACTCATTACAATTGGAGCCTTACTTTGTCCGGATGTACGGCCAAACACGCCTTGCGGTAGAACTTCTTGACATCGCTGGCGGTCACCAATTGATGCATTCCTATTGGTTGCCAATTACATCCCTCCCATATAATCACATTCAACGAACACAACAGCGCTCTTATATTCCTGGTCTTCCCTTCTTTCCATTTCATTACTTTAAGTCTCATCGGATCTATTGTCCCGTCTTTGAGCTGTACATTGAGTAATCATCATTAAATCATATTCAAACAAATCATTAACTGTAAATTGTAACTAAAATGCATACCATTTCTTCGTCTCTCATTTGAGAAATACTTTTATTTGTCGTTTCGTTTTGAGTCGGTTTAAAGCCTCCCAAAAGATCCTCAAAAGCATTGCCCAATACTTTAGCATTACATGCGGTAGAAGTGGTTGTGTTCTTGACTTCGTTAAAATTGCTTCGATTGTAGTCAGGCTTCGGAAGGTTTGCCGTTTGAAATGTTGAATACGAGTTGACTCGTGGAATGTTTGGTGCAGTGGTTGTGACCGTCGATGTAAGGAATGAACCCAATTGTGCCAAAGGATCTAAGATTGTTAAGTTGGGCGTCGATGTGTTTCTTTGCAGAGATGCGTTAAAAGCCATTCCTCCAGACAGTGGTGAAGTCGGTGTTATCACCGGAGGACTCGGTTTCAACACATTGTTCGCATCGAAAGCAGCCATCGGTGGACCCGTATTAGCGCTCATAAAGTCTAGATCTTGAAGAAGATTGACATTCGAATCAATGCCAACATTATTGGGAATAATATTAGTTTCGGTAAATAAGTCCATCTGTGGATCAGTTGTTCCGAATAAATCGTTTGGTAATTCACTATTAGTTAGAACTGTGTTCTGCTTTTGAGTCGTTGTTTCATCGATACTAAGATTGAGGAGGAGATCATTAACAGGAGGTCTCGCAGGCTTTGGTTTCTCATTCATAATGTTGTCATCCAAAGTAAACTCTTCAGACTTATCACTGAATCGGTTCTCTTCCCAATCAAGCGTTTCAAAGAAGCCTTCGTTTGGAGGCGACTCTCCCTTAGATTTAGAAATATTTGCCACTAATTGTGGTTCCGATGATATGATTGCCTCTCGCGGTGGAGGAGGTCTTTGCGGCGCCGGTCTCTCGGGTTTGACTGGTTTTTCAGTCTTAGACGCAAACATTTCCTGACATTCTTCTAACTCTAGTTCGTTAGAGAAGATACAAATCGGTTCAGAAGTCGCCTCATATTCTTCAAAATTCTTAGGTTTGGCCGAAGTTTGAGAACCATTCGAGCAATTAGTTTGCAATTCATATTCAATGATCACTTGAAAATCTTTTGGATATCGATCTAACTCTTCGATGTCGTCCAAAGAGTTGACATCAAACTTAAGAACGTGTTGTCCGACAACTCCTTTGTGTTCGAAAAACAAATTGAACTGAACTGAAGACATTCTGATGGCAGTCATCTTCGACTGCAACATCTTTGAGCCAATGGTTGATCTCGCGTGTGATATCACAAGTAAAATGTCTGCTTTGGAATCGCATTGAACTCTAATCTCATTCCAGAGAACAGTGTTGTCCGAAGCCCTCGAATACGGACGAAGTTTCTCGTAATCATTAGCTGTCGAACCAATCCTTATCTCTCCGTTCATAAAGATTTCAATGAAAGGCCGACAGCCGTCTCTATAAGAACACAATACCATAAATCATATGAAATTTTAATACTTTTTGTATCAAAACAGACCTTAATTTTGTAAATAAAGGAACGCCTTTCATTGCAATCGACTTAATAATGACAAAAGTATCGGAACGTGAAGAACATTTCATCGATTGTTTGTCACACAATCGGGAGACATATGAGAGATAACGCGACTGCGATGGAGTCAACTCTATTGGCATTCGTTTAACCGCAAAAAAGTTTAAAGCAGTTCTATAGTCACCAAATAAGTCAATCCATAGGACTAAAGCTGTCGTTAAGAGAGCGCTATTAACTTTTCCATCCTTTAAATGAGTAAATAAGTTGGTAATTAAATATACACTAAATATAATATTGATAATAATAACAATAAATTAATTGATACATACCATGCAATGAATAACAGTAATATTCTTTTTGTCAGAACTCATCCACTTTTGAATCAATTGACATAAAGATAGAATGGAAACAAGAGTTGGAGAGTGTTTGGCGTCCTTCCAAGTGATGCCGCCTTCAAACACTTTAATTTGCGATCCAAACCTATTGTAACCGTACGAACGGCCGCTTATATTAACCACAATATACGGGGCATTCTTTGATTCAAGGAATGCTTTCACGTCTTCGATATGATTTCTATACGCGGACTCAAGACCTTCGGCCGGATATGACATTACAATTAGACGACTCGTCAAAAAAGACATATCCAAGTCTTGGCGAGCAAT